AAAACGCATAAAATCGTATTATAACATCGATAGAGACAAAAAATAAAATGAAACATTTAAAATCAAGATGTGTCTCGCTGCATTGCGCGAGTACYCTTCTAGTTATCTTTATAAAAAATTATATTATTAAACCTAAATTAAATTTCTTTGTTATTAAACTTAAATTAAATTATAATTAAAAAAATTAAAGAAATTACACCAAAACACAAGGACTTTTAAAAATGTTAATTTGATACTGATGTCGATATATTTTTTCAAAATTTTATAATATTTTCAAATTTATATTTTATTCAAAAATAAAAACATTATCGTTTTCTCAAAAACCACATAAAACCGTATTTTTATATCGACATAAAAAAAACATAAAATGAAATACTTTAATCAAGATGTATCTCGATGCATTGCACGAGTACATTTTTAGTTTACTTAATAATTGATCGATTTAAAATGATTATTAATTAATGATTTTTTTAATGAGAAATTAATTTTTGGTAATTGTTAATGATGCGGTAGTAAATTTATGAGGTCGACGACTCCTATCATGATTAACGCTTACTAAGTAAATTGTTGCATAATATATCATTTTTGTTGACTAAAATCTTACCAAGTAAATAAATGATAGTGTTAAATTTTACTGGTAGACGCTTACCAAATAAATATTTGGAAAACGGCTCATAAATTGACTCGTACATTATACCACGTATTTGTATGATAAATCACAAACAACGATAATCAATTTTATCATATGGTTGAAATATTTTAAATATCAAAACTATTACTACAATGAACATTATATTTTATTTGAAATCTCATATTCAGTTTTTTAATTTAAATTGCATTTGGTTCGATCGTTGGTTTTTCGGGATCCAACCGAAAGATCGAACGTTTAATCTACGAGAGAGAAAATACAGATAAAACGATACCGACCTTTAAAAGGAACGATTCCTCTTTGGATGAAATCTCGATAATGTAAAAGACCCATAAAAGCACAAGCCGAAGCGGTCCAAAATTGAACCTCCGGAATCCCTAAATCCTTTGCAGCTTTTATGGCGAAGGTCATCACGCCATCTCCGATGACGCTGCTCACCGGAGGAACTCCGGCCGAAGACGAGTTCAGCCGTTTAAGCAATTCCTTGAACGGAACCAAACACGTCTTTCTGGTCATATCACAAAGCATGGGAATATCTTGAGTGGCATCTCGATCGGAATGTGGCATGCCATCGGGGATGGTCTCGAACCGGAAGTCGGGCAAACCCTTGACGGATTCAGGGCCTTTGGATCTAATGAGACGCTGATGATTGAATTCGGTGTTGACGAAGGTGATGTGGAAGCCATGGGAATGGAGAAGCTTTGCAAGCTTCATAAAAGGGTTAACATGGCCTTGGGCTGGGTATGGCACCAGAACTGCATGAGGTTTAGTGATAGAACCCATTTCGGTTTGGTTTCTACGATTGGAGAAAATGCGAACATTATATAGACTTCTTTTAAAAGGAAAACTTCTCACGAAACTCATCCAAACATTTTGTTAATGATATCGGGTAGGATTCGAACCCAGATAAAGTTTTTTAAACTATTTCTTTAATAAAAAATTATTAAATTTTGAATGATTAAGTCTTTAAGCATTTATTTTTGAATAAATAAATCATGGTTTTTAAAAATGGGTTAAATGCATAAAATAGCAACCTACTTTCATAAAATTTCTTATTATAGCATTGTAATTTTGTTTTTTTTTTATTACAGCAATGTATTTTTAAATTATTTTTTATTAAGACTTAACTTTAAAAAATATACTCATAATAGCAATAGCTAACATGTTACATTTTAAATCGGTTAACCATTGACTTTTTTTGCTTGTGTGGCTTTAATGAGGTGATGTGGATGACACATCATTTTGATTACTTAACTAAAATTAAAATAAAAACTTATTTCAAATTATTATTAGTTATTCTCATTTTTCATTGCTATTATCTAAAACAATAGTTATTTATTTTTTGACTTTTTCTCATTAAGTTGCATGCAAATTAAATATTCTAGAGTAAAATATTTCTTAAATAAATATGAAACATTATTTTCGAGATACATTTTGTTTGTAAAAAAAATATCACTTCTTATTTTATGTTGTTCAAATAAATAAATATCTTTTAAAGTTCTCTTTAGAATGTTAACGAAATAAATTGTGATTTACAATTTTTTAATATTATTATATTAATAAATAATTCAAAAAAATCAAATTAATTTAACATATTTATACGTCAAGTAAAACTTTTTGAACAAGTATAATATATCCTTTAAAAGATAAAAAAATTTTGGTAAAAAAGAAACAATTCTTATTTTTTTTCTTTCAAAAAACACATATTTTTAAAAAAAAAATACTAGCGAGATAAGTTGTGTTCTACTAGTTTTATTGATATTGGTATATTAATGAATAATCTAAAAAAAATTAATTCATTTAATATATTTATTAAATAACATGTAAAATATCTAAATATTAAAATTAAAAATACAGTGTTTAATAAAATAAATTTGAAAGTATAATGATGTAGTAAGAAAACCACATCACTATAGTATATGTGGACAGCCTACGTGGACAATAAGGTGACATGAAAACCTGTTATAATGGGTAAATTTAAATCAAAAGGTTACCCAATGCTATAATGGGTAAATTTTTCAAAAAGTATAATGTTATAATAAAATAATTTGAAAGTACATTGTTGTAATAAGCAAAATTGGAAGTACAATGCTATAATAAAGAAATTTGTGAAATTAGATTGTTATTTTATGCATTTTGTTCTTTAAAAATTGGTCAACTACATCCTTTTAAATTAAAAAAATTACATGTAACCGACTAACAATGTTTTAAAGTAAAAAAAAAAAAAACATAAATCAGTTTTAACGTTCCCAAACCCTGTATCATTCAATCCCTTCTCATACAATGGCATCTCTCCCCCTCACTGCTCTTCATCCCCCCATCGTTGTCTGTTCTCTCTACCGTCCATTGCCGTTATTGGCCTCTGTCATCGATCTCCATCTTCTTTTATCTTTTTTTCTTTCAAAAAAGAAGAATCTACTTCAGCCAATATGTCTTTGGGCACGACCATACATAACATAGAAATTACACTTGGAAATGGTGGACAATTAGCTAGAGCAGCGGGTACTGTAGCGAAAATGATTGCAAAAGAAGGAAAATCGGCCACATTAAAATTACCTTCTGGGGAGGTCCGTTTGGTATTCAAAAATTGTTCAGCAATAGTCAGACAAGTGGTGAATGTTGGGGTGAACCATAAAAGTTTGAGTCGAATCTAAGCGTTGGCTAGATAAGATGAGCAGTTATGAAGCATAAAGACCATCCAGATGGGGATGGTGACCGGTGAAGGAAGGGCCTCAATTGGTAAAAAAAAACACAACCTCTTGGGGTTATCCTGTACTTGGAAAAAGAAGCAGAAAAAAGAATAAATATAGTGATAATTTGATTCTTCATCACCGTAGTAAATATGAGAGAAAATATAATTTCTTTCTTCGTCTTTTCAAAAAACGTTCACTAAAAAAATCATTTTGTAGCGAATAATATAGAAATATAAGCGTAAAGAGTAATTGATTAAATTCGGCGGATGTGTGTTTTACAACAATTTACTGGAACACATATAGAAATATAAAAAATGGAGACTACTGAATATTGATGCGATTCATATGTGAATATTGATCACTAATCGTTACACTAATCATTTTAAAAATACATGTCCAAAATATTATTGGATCCAAAGTCAACTCATTCTTTTGCTATCTTATTTGATTCTTTTTAGAAACAAGTGCATTGACTTTCGATATATTCGGTTTCAGTTCCAAAACGGATTTTTTTTGGTAATGGACAAATTAATGATTAAATTTACGATAATTGTTAAAAAAAGATAATAGAAACTAATATAAAATTGAATTAAATAAAATGTAAAAAGTAATTAGAAATGATACTGATCATGAAAAGCTACAAAGTAGAGTTAAAGCGAAACGTTAAAAGCCAAACATTTAATTCTACATCGTTATTGTTCAACATCGAATGTGAAAACTTTTAACCACAAGGGATGGTGTCTGATTGGCTTGAGCTTAGACTCCAAAGGTTAAAGTGCATGTAGGTCATAGGTTCGAATCCAAGAATGAATAAAAATCCCCTTTGTGGTCACGGAGGTTCAAATGCAGTGATTCCGGGCTACCCGCGAAGCGGGTGGTTACTCTGGGATTAGTCGGCTCGCATAACAGAATATCCAGGTTAATAAAAAAATGTGAAAACTGAAACGGTATATATTTGTTTCAGAAATATGTATAGAAGCTATTAACTTTTTTAAAAATGCACAGAATAAAAAACAAAAGTTAGAAAGAGACCATAAAACAGTGTCGTTTACACCAAATCTTATCAAATTAGCAACAGAATAACGAGAATATTTTTAACTTAAATATATTTGTATGGTTAAAACATAAAAATATAAAATTTGGTGGTCAAAGCATAAAAAGTTAGGAAAAGAGGGTCAACCGAGTCGTTGGAGAAGGAAATCTGTATAACAGGAGTATTTATCGACTGAAATTCAATATATTTTGGTAGAACCGATTCAAACCATTATCATCTATTGGATGTTGGATTATGCTGATTCATCTGATTCAATTAATTTTGAACAGTTGATTTAATCCAGTTCAATAAATAATTAAATCAGATTATTTACATCAGATGTATATTAAACTTGAATCCATATAATGTTTTGATTTAATTATTTAAAATTCAAAACAAATTAATTATTTATAGTTTAATTAATTACTTATAATTCATAATTAAAATTAGAAAATAATGATGCTAAGTATATTCTCTCATTTTAAATATTAAATGGCATCCAACTCCAAAGTATATTATATCATTTGTAAGATTCTAATTTTAATTTTTAAATATTTATTTATTAAGTTAAATTATACATTGCGATGCCAACTTGCTTCCTAAAATAGGCAACCCAAAGAAAGTCTAAATAAACAAACATATATTTTCATGTTATATATAATATGAAATTTGTTTTTTTAAAAGAGGTGTTAAAGTCTGAAGTCTTATTTTACTTTTTATTTATAAGAGGTGGTGCTGACGTTTGAAATCTAAATCAATAAGATTGTTTTTTCTTTTTTGTAAACTGATAAACATCTGAATTTATTTAAATTACTTATTTTACCCATTAACACATTATATTGTTGAATTTATAAATAAAAATTATACAATTTCATATATTTATATTATGATCATTACGAAATTTACATCTATTATAATTAACATTCATTTAAACGGAAATATATCATTAACGTATTTAACACATTTAAATCCTATTTGAATACATTAACTGAGAGACGTGAGAATTGATTTGGTAAAGATTGATTAAGGTTAATCGATTGAGAAACGTCGTTGTTGAGGGTTTGAAAAACAATAAGAGAAAATAAGATATTGGTTTATTTGCTTACCAGATAAGAGGACAATCAGAGGAGAGGCTACTAGTTATTTAACTTTCAGATTCAAATGAAAGATGTGGAATCGTAACAAACACATGTGATTGTTATTTGACTTTGAAAATAAAATAACATATGATAAAAATGGTAAATTCTTTTCGTTTTATTGGTTCATTGTACTTTAATACTGATGTTGATACATCAAAAGAAAATTTACATGTTTCTTTCATTTTATATGTACACATGAGAGTTTATTTGTTTAGTAAAATGTTTAGAGACTTAATCGCTCAATATATAAAAATTCGTAGGGTTTTATAGATTTTTATCAAGTTTAAGGATTTATTTGTTCGATTTTAATAACTTCAAGAATTTTTTTATTATTTGTAAAACCTAAAAATTTGTGGAATAAATAATTTATCTTTATTGTTATTTTATTTTAAGAATATATATATATATATATATATATCAAATAAAAATAGAAAGTTGAAATAAGTTTAAAAGTCGGACCAAAAGTGAAGGAAGAAGTCAAGACATGAGTAAAAATTGTCAATTCGTGGTAGTTAAAGGATTGGGTCGTGTGTAAGCAGGTCCAAACCAGAAGGACCTGTTTTGTAAATAGACAACCAACCTGAAACAGAGGGGCCTGCTGTCAACGATTGGGAGAGGCAGAAGAGGTATAAGCGGTGCCTGGTCCATAAGGGGAAACTGTGACCTGCCTGTTTGCAGGCTGTGGAGAAAGCAGTTTCACAGCCTAAAACTCGGATTCGGCCGATTTGGTCAACTAATAGGCCAAATCGTTTGAGTATAAATTATGGGCACTGGTTAGGGTCGCTATTCATTTGAAAAGAAGAAGGAAATCGTTGAGCTTGAGAGAGAAAAACCGGAGTTCAAGACCAGGCAAGAACCCCCTGCTTTCTCGTCGTTTAGAGGTAAATACTCAACCAAAATTTATGTCGTTACAATGTTTAGCTGTGCCTTTTGGCCCTGTGTAGAACTCTAGAAGGCTCACGTTCCAACTTCGTGTTTTAGGATTCAATTTCAAGTTTAGATTTCTTTTGGAAAGCACGTTGTATCGCATTCTGTTAAAAACCACTTAAAATAATGTTACACAGAAGCTCTGCATGAGAGCTCTGTACCAAGTTATATTATACAGAAGCTCTGCGTGAGAGCTCTGTATCATGTTAGAAGCTCTGCATGAGAGCTCTGTACCAAGTTATATTATACAGAAGCTCTGCGTGAGAGCTCTGTATCAAGTTATGTTAGCCAAAAGCTCTGCATGAGAGCTTTGTAGTAAGTTACGTTATACAGAAGCTCTACATGAGAGCTCTGTATCTGGCGTTAGACAGGAGCTCTGGAAGAACACACAGAGGGGCTCTGGCCCTTAATGTTGAAATAATTAATTAAGTCACAGAAGCTCTGGTCTTGGTGGGATTATTTTCTAAGTATAGGTTAGTTCAACCAGAGGCTCTGGTCGTGAAGCCAGAGGCTCTGGAAGAGAGGTCAGAGGGGCTCTGGTCCTTGGTGAAATATATTTGCCAAGTATGATTCAACCAGAGGCTCTGGTCGTGAGACCAGAAGCTCTGGTCGTGAAACCAGAAGCTCTGGAAGAGAGACCATAGAGGGGCTCTGGCCTTGGTGTGTATTATTTTCTAGGTATGGTTCAACCAGAGGCTCTGGTCGTGAGGCCAGAAGCTCTGGAAGAGAGACCACAGAGGGGCTCTGTCCTTGATGTGGAATTATTTTCTAAGTATGGTATACAAGCAGAGGGGCTCTGTCAATACAACCACAGAGGCTCTGGTCCTAAAGGACTTAAGGATCCAGAGGCTCGGTCAAAGCAACCAGAGGCTCCGTCAAAGCAACCAGAGGCTTTGGCCGTCCACAGAGGCTCTGGCCGTCCACCGCTGACCACCACCACCTGAAGCACCACGAACCACTATCGATCTGAACCACTACCAACCACCATCGATCTGAACCACCGTCGATCTAAAACACTATCCATCTGAACCACCGCTGAACACTGCCACCTTAAGCACCACGGACCACTACCGACCATCGGCAACTACCACCGATTTGAATAACTACAGGACACCATCGACCACCAATGATTTAAACAACCACCGATCTGAACCATTGCCGATCTAAACCATTGTCCATCTGAACCACGGCTGACCACCTTCATCTGTACCACCGTGGACCACCATCGATCTGAAAACCACTGCCAACCAACGTCTTCTGAACCACTACGGACTACTACATATCTAAACCACCATAGACCACCATCAATCTCAACCACCACCGACTACCATTAATTTAGTAATGTCGTTTAGCTTATGGTTGTATTTGGTGTTGTGTATTTTATATTGTTTTACATAATAAATAATTATTTTACTAAAGTATTTTTGGTTTTAATTTTTTTTTCAAAAAAAGACATTTTGATCATTTACCAATATTTCATTCAAATTTCAAAGCTACATTCTATGAATCAAACAAACATATTTCAATTTCTTAACATATTTCATTTTAATGTCTGCCAACCAAATAGTTGGTCAAGTCTGACATTATTTCATTTCAATTTTTTTAAAATCAAATTCTTTTAATAAATTTCATTTCATCCAAAAATATTCTACAAACCAAACCCGAACGTATAGGTTTACTCCAATAACCAAAAGGATCTAATTGGAATAAAAGTTTGTACCATACATATATTATAGTTGATACACGTGGATCTAGTTGGCTATGATTATTTTAATAATTAATTTAATTGAGATTAATTTATAAACTAAACGTCATCGTTTCCATTTTAAGAGCAATCATTAACATTAATTTAATTCAATTTCTTAAATGCTAATCAAATGTCAAACATACTTTAAAAATATACCAAAAAAAGTTGGGTTTCGGTTGAGAATGAGAGTTAAGATAAAAAGCGTAAGAGATGATTTTCATCATTATATGCACATTAGGATGAAATGTACCAGATCAATCCTCGTATCAAGCGGGATTCATGGGTGAGTTTGAGATTAAAGGTGATCAAGGGTTCAGATCCCTTATTATGTTCTCACCTTAACTCTCTTTCTCACACAATCCTTCATCTATATTAAAACCGGTGAGCTAAATGTACCTCTATAAATTGCTAAATGCATCTTTATTGATTAATTTTCTCATCACACGCATCAACCTCAACCTAAATTAGAAAAATTGACAATAAGGTTTAATAATCTGTTTCAACTAGATTTTCAACAAACTAGCTTATAAACTAACTTACGTTCATCCAAACATGAATTCAAAAAAAATAGGGTAGCTTATAAATCAGTTTAACATCATTAAAATATAAAGATTTATTGACATCATTAAATTATAATTATAATAAAAATTAAATTATAATACGAAAATTTTAAACGTTCAAACGATTAAGAAAATACAAACTTATACATCACCGTTGATGTGTGCACATCGTCGTTTCCCTCTCTTCAAAAGGTTTATATGGTGTGAGATAAGAAAATAGTGACGTATTTAATTAATTTAGTAAATGGCTGCTTGCTAAACGCTTACAGGGCAAGGACAAGTGCTTATTGGGTGTCACTTATTTTTCGAGTGAGCATGACAACGACCTAAAATTTTATCCGTAAGAGACATAGCAAGGACCATAAATCATACCTGGTAAGTAAAGGAGAAGACTCTTACCTAATAGATGCTTATCAGATAAAAGACGCTCAACAATGTATTTTGATGGCCAATAATGTTATCCGACAAGGTAAGTGAGGGTGGTGCTCTTGCTGGTAAATGCTTACCCGGAAAATGTTTTGTAAACGGGCTCTAAGCCAACTAGGTTAACTCTGTTTCTGTTTAAATGCTAAAAGTATATTAATGAAAACCAGACCAAACGAACTCAACATATTTCACTTGTAGAAAAGTACAAGAAATATGAAGTGCATTGACATGTTCCTCATTTCAAAAGTAGAGTGACTTTTTTTGTAAAGATCGACTACCGCGTTGCGAAAAACGTGTAGGAAATATGCTGATAAATGAAGCTTAATAATTGAATTTTGATTCTTCATTTTTAAGAAATTTTAGAGAATTTCAGAGGTGCTTTGATAAACCCGTCAATGAAGTTTAAAACTTGAATCAACTCGGCCGTAAACCAACAAGAAGTGCTAAAACCGTAACGAGATATATGTCGAACCATTGGTATGCAGATGGATCCATGAAATCAACAAAGAAAAACAATGCCATTTTGAAAACATGAAATCTACTTGTTATACAGTCGATGAAGTGTTTACATTCGGTTGATATTTTGTGTTGGAGGAATAGAGGTCCTCTACAACAATAGCATACGATGCGTGCTGCAAATTACAAACTACGAAAAAACACGTACCTCTTTAACATACGGGGAAAGGGTAAAACAGTCATTTCCTTCACTAACTTTCTCCTGTTCTGGGCAGTTCAAGTCTTCCTTAAAGCCAAGGCATGATTCTTGGTCAACTCCTCAACAATCAGTCAGAATTTGGAGTTCACATTAGAAACTGCCTCAAAACATACAAAATCAAGCACCCCATTTCATCTTTAAGCAACAGAAGCATAATTATTCAGAATCCATGGCTTCAAATTGGAAGGTCATCACTGTTGGCTTAGTTTCTGCAAGAAAAGGTTTTGGAGTTTTTATCGGTTTCCATCTGATTTACTACCTCCTCCAGTCAAGTTACTGATTTCGGTTTTCTTCTGATCTTGATTGGGTGCCGGTTTGTTGTCCCATAGTTTTCCAGTTTTGGCTATAGCAAGGATGAGTTCGAGTTGCTTTTGTTGTTGATCCTGTATGACAAGAGCTCAAGAACTCAATACTATAATCCGGACATTAGCTGAAAACAATATCGTAACCAGAGTCAAGAATCATGCAACTAATACTGTCGACTTACAGGGTCTCACCGATGAAAGACACCTTTTCCTTCAGAAGATATGTGTCCCAATTCCAATTGAGACCCATTAATCAAATAAAAACATGTACACACAAAACATACCACAATCCTAAAGACAAATACACCGGAAAAACCTAAGGCCACGTTTGGTTTGGCGGAATGTTTTTCAGGGATTTGTATTTCGTGGAAGGATTTGGAATTGCGTTCAGTTTGTAGGATTTGGAACGGAATCGAATTCCATTCTTTATAAATAATTTATAAAAATAAATAAATTACTTTTTTATTAAATGATAATTACAGAACAAGTGTTTTAAACATATTTTAAAACATTATTCCAAACAAATCCTATGAAATCCGCGGAATACCAACTACCTCAATGAAATCCCATGTTTGTGGGATTTCAAATCCAAGCATTCCATCAAACCAAATATTGGATAGGAATGGAATTCAATTCAATTCCAAATCCCTCTAAATCCTATCAAAAATCCTGCAAACCAAACGGGGCCTAAGAATTACTTGTAAGGAATATGCTTCTCAACTAATACTCCCCTCGAAGAATTGCCTTTTTTAGTTGCAAGCCTTGACCTCTAAGATGTGAAACACCACAAGTCACTATTGATATAATATTTATAAAAAAATCGAAAATGATTGTCCCAAAACATCTTACAACTATTACTTTTTGACCATTTGAAATAAAAGTTAAGCTATGATGTGTGAGATTTGATGCCAATACATCATGAATCACACTCGGTTAAACAGCAAAATTGTTGAGTACAAGAACAGATTATCATGAAAAGCTGGTAGAACTATATGACATTCTACTTAACAACATAACCAGATAAAAACAACAACTTTATTTCTTTATGCGATGGATTTTTGCGGCATATGAATTGAAGAATGCTTGGATTTTGCTTCATCTAAGAGAAATATAAATGATAAACTGTCGTTGCAATAGGGAATGGACATGAAACTAGTACTAACAAGAATTGCATCTTATGTCTCCTGAAAAAAACCATGTAGGCAATGAAAAATAACATATCAACAAAAAGACTATTGCTTATGTCAACCCTGTTGAAAGGAAGGTGTTTAAGTAGTTACACATCTGTCAACCTAATGGCAATTTAAGTCACATGGTAAAGGATACATTCCACCATAACCATGCATCACACTAGAAAACTAACCAGACCACAGACCATTTTCACCTGGATGTATGTAAGGCATGGTTAACAGATGCATGACACATGTTCCACTTGAAAACTAGCCAGACTACAGGCCATTTAGCTGAATGGATTTAAGACATGATTAGAAGATGCATGTCACATATAACCATTCATTGGATTTGAAAACTAGCCAGTGTACAAGCCACTCATCAGCAGAAGCAAAAAAATTGCAGATATGCAGGTCTCGTGGGTTATATTTGAAATGTTTTTGGCATAATGATGTAAACTATCATCAGTTAAGGTCTAGTAAGCATCGATATACGAAAGAGAGAGAGAGAGAGCGAGTCAACTAGATGTCATAGATGTGGACACCTATAGTGGAAAGAAACCAAATTCAGATGCAGAGAATGATAGACTGTGCCACCATCATAGCAGGTATGCATCTCCAGTTTGAAAGTAGAAATCAACAACAGTACAATCAGAAGAATAGCAAAACGACATCACAATAAGAGTCAAAACATATCTGTTGAAATAAACTTAAGTTCTAAAAATAACAAAATAACCATTGTTAAATTGCTTATCATATAAAATCTGGAGAGAAAAGCATCTACTGTCAACTATAGAATCGAATATCAATAAGAGACCATCAAATAGACTAATATTACCAACCAAAGATTGTATAACTTTTTGTATCCAAAGGTTTGAAATATCATGATGAAAACATGTACGGGTGGGTTTGGTACACTGGACAGGACAGGGCAGAACAGAACAGGGATCCCTGTTCCATGTTTGGCAGAACTTTTATGTGGAACAGAGTGGAACAAGCCTGTTCCACCCCTACCCCATGGAACAGGGTGAAACAAGGTGAAACAGACTTATATTTTACCAATATAACCTCAAAATAAAACTTAATTCTCGTCTAAAACATCAAATAGGCCTCATTTTTACATTTTATTCATTCTTTAACTTTTATTTATTGTATTTGATGCTTTTTAAACTTGCATTTTACTGTCATAAAAAAAATTATACAGTTTCTATATTTTTATTAATTTATGTAATTTGTTATGTATTAATAATAAAAAATAATGTAGATTAGGGATAATATTAAAATTTGAAACTACATAAACTTTTTATTTTGGTTTCATTTTAATTGTTTTGACAGAAACTTTCTAATGATCTATTTTGTTATAAAAATAATTATTTTATTATAATTTAATAAATTACATAGACTAATCAAAATATATAAACAAATCATTACGGGTAAATTGGTTATTTTACTTGTTCTATTCTGTCTAGTTTTGTCTTACCAAACGCTGAACAATTGTTCTGTCTTGTACACCATACGCACCCGTAAAATCTGATGTTGATCCTGGAGACACTGAACAATTCCTAGAAACCATGCGACCAATCTGGCATGAGCTCTAACAAAGGTTTACAATCATGCAAGGGAGTTAATTTCTTTTTACTACCAAGTCTGTTAACGCCCCAAGTCCAAAGCAACAAGCTGACCAATAACTTCGAATCCAACTTAAAACCATGGTGGGAGTTATTAGTAACCCACAACTTTGAGCTTATAAAGAGCTCATAAATCTTTCTTCTATCCATGTGGGACAGGTTGTTACAAAGTCCCCCGTTATTGGGTGATTGTAGATTTCGTTAATAGGATCTTGTAATGTGACATGCCACACGTACTATCAGCCAGGTAAAGAGCTTGAACGAATACTCAGGTACATCATATTTGAAGAAACGATAATCAACCAGGCTGAAAGCATAGCTTTTCATGCTTGTAGTTTACAATCACGAGTTGTATACTACTGGTTTGGGGAGCAACTGTTTAATGTTTTTACTTACAAGATAGGAACTGAGAATTCCTTTTGATAAGTGCTTTAGCCATTATGGTGTTATGTAATGTATCCCCCTGTTCTTACGCTTTCTGTCTCTTTATTTTTCTTGGAAGATCATTTCCTCCCCCCACCCACTTCGGTATATTTTGATAAGGTAGAGCATAAACCCCTTAGAATTGCCTCGTGTAGAACCTTTCTCATACAGTTACTTTCAATTTTGGATATTCAAACCTAGTACTCTCCATATTAGTAATTGACAAGCATTTTTGGTCCCAAACTGATTATCTTGTAGTACTTCTCTATACTTAATCGTAGTTATCAATAAGTTTCTACAACTAAAACATGATTCCTCTTTCTTGACAGGAGTATAATAAAAGAATAAAATATTACACCCTTCATCAACAGAATGTCCATGATAATTGCCTTAGGAAGCATTTCCATAACAAAGAAAAGAGAGAGAGAGAGAGAAAAAATGGCAGCTTCAATTATATCTGGTGTGATCAGAATAATAATCAAGGAAGCACTGACCTGCATTGCCAACAGAACCTTCTGAATTTCAACAAGCTCTTTCTCCAGAATGTCTTCTTGCACTGCCAGTGCCCGGGTGGCCTCGGAATTCTTCTGAGCCAATTCTGCAGCCTACAAGCACAAGAAACTTAGACATACCAACACGCATTAACAGACGACAAGTGATCTTGCTACTATTTCTATCTATGTTGCTTTTAGCAGTACCATGTCCATATCGAAGTCTTGCATCAAACTTTACCTCTTGGTAGCTACATTTAGCTTTCACATTTCAGATGTATCAACGAATTCATATAATTCAATGAAAAGATTAAAACCACTCCTACATTTTTTTTATTACTTAGACTGCACAGTTACATAGTGATATATACATGTTCCTCGGTCTAATGCCAGTAACAATTTTACTGAAGATGCCTTCACAGCACTCATGAGTACATTATTGGCATGCTTTATGAATCCGGTGGGAACCTTAAATGTGATATAGCATTAAAGTATACATGCAAGCATATTTCTTCTCTAGTAAAGATTATATCCAGACATTGCAGAGACAAGCTCATGTTAAGAATCCTCACAATTACTTTTTCCTACCTAGGCCACTATGCCTATTAATTGACTATCAACATGCACAAACTGAATTGGATACCTCAAATAGAGTTTCTTAGTTTTTACCATAACTCTTGGGTCTTTATAAAGCAATTGATATTCAACAGACAGGTGAAAGTGCTATGTAAAGCCATAGAAACCTAGTTCCATAGTTGTTCTCCTAATCCTGACTCTACTCCCAAGTCTTTCCTGCATCACTTCCACATAGGAGGCTAAGAGTGCCTTTTAGCATATACATTAGCCAAAATCAGACCCCTTCTTTTTCCCTTTTTCTACCTCTCAAGTTAATGGGTACCTTAGTTAAAGCACTGAATTTTGGGTCAGCATTGTAAATTTTTGTAATTAATTAGAGATCACCCTGTTTCCATGCCACTGAGAATTCCTCCCTGCCAACAAATCTATCAGACTTACAGAGATGCATACCATAATTCAAAAACAAGTTCATAGCAACACCTTATATACATTTATCTTTGTCAACTATACAAGCATGAACTCAGCCATGTTGCTTCCTCCATGTCATTCTCTTTTGTGTCATTGACTCCTGTATTACGCTCACTTATCTGTATAGATGCAAGTTATCATCATGTTTTCATCCAAAATTCTTAATTCATATGGCTCACTTCTCATATGGTTCGCTTCCCTAGATGTTTCTTGATCCAAGAAGTACTGCCTTCCAATTCATAATGAAGCATTTTTTGCAAACGTAGAATTGAAAAGAACAAATTTTAAGGTGCCATACAAGCAATTTTAGCATCAGTGTCCACCGGACCAGGTATAGCTTCCACTTTTGGTCAAGGTTTTCACATTTTTTCACATGAAAGACACAAGTATATAAAACACAATGCCAAAGTGAAAACCAAATCACAATTCATTGGATAAAGATGTCAAATACCTGAGCAATGGGCTCTTTCATAGACTTCCTCGTGACCCTAAACCGAATTCCCAGTTTCTCAAGCTGTCTTGACAACACCCTAATAATCGTAGCCGAATTCCGAAGATCCTCTTCCACTTTTTCTATCCGCTCAACCAAATTAACCCTAGAAGATCCCGGCTTACTAAACCCTACACAAATCCTCCTCCATTGTCGCCTCCTAATAGCAGCACCAATCACAATCCCCACCACCAACAACAAAGATTGCCAGACTGAAACCCGGTTCCCAAACCACTCCAAAACAGGCTTCTGTGAAGTCGAAAAAGTTGAATTTATAACAAACCCAACCGAAAGAACAGCAGAAGAAGCAAGACAAAAGAATTCGGCAATAGAAAGAAAAGCATCGATATCGAATGTATCCATGGCAACAATGTATTGTTTGTCAACAACTCCATCTGATTCCAAAGCTCTTATTGAAGAATGATGGCGTGTATGAAGGGAATGGGATTTGAAGGGGATTAGCACTCGGGTGTTTAGGGTTTGGTAATGCGGGTAGATTGTGACATCAAAATTAGGGGTCTTAAGATTGGGGGGTTTCAATTTGAAGGAGAGGTGAGTGTGTGAATAACGGGTAAGGAGGTTTTGAAATGTTATTGACATGATTCAACTGGTGATAAGAGAATTAGGGTGTGGTGAGTGATCGGAAAGTTTGGGCGAATTGCAGAAAGATTGAAGACAAAATTACAGCGTGGCGATGATGGCAACGGTTGGTGGATTGGCGCCTTGGAATATCCGATGTCCGACAGGAAATGACTGAACTTATTCGGGTCGGGTGGAATTCTGCAATTCGGGCTATGAACATGACTATGAGCCACCATACATGCTTTTGCGTTTGGATGATTTTATCAATGGTTATATTTAGGACTATAAACCAACTGAACGTTCAGCAAATCGTTTATGCGGAAAGTTTATTTATGTTCGTTTATTTAATAAATGAACGAACAATTTTTTTGTTTGTTTAATTAAACAAACGAACATGAACAAGAGTCTCGTTCGTGAACGTTCGTTCATTTACCGTTCATTTATATTCGTTCGTTTATATATCAAATTTAATATATAATCTTTTACTTATTTACTTTGAATTCAAATAATTTTTATTTATGGTCGTTTAACCCGTTTGTTTATGTTCGTTTAGTCCATTCGTTTATGTTTGTTCGTTTACGTTCGTTTAGCATGTTAACGAGCGAACATAAACGAACACGAACACACATGATTTCTAAACGAACGAACACGAACACAAAGATTTTCGTTCGTTTACCATTCGTTTGTTCGGTTAAGTTAAACGAACGAACATGAACAAGCCTCCGTTCGTATTCGTTCGGTTCGTTTACAGCCCTAGTTATATCTTCATGGCACGGTTTATTGATGGAAAGTATTGGCTTTCAATATTTGGTGTTATCTCTTCCATATTTTCCTCCTTCTTTATTGCCTTAATTATTGGTTTCCTTTTCTGTTTTCTTCTATTTATCGGAGGTGATCTCCTCCCTTGTGATTGTTCTTTTTTTTTTCTAAGCAATTAATAAAAGAAGAAAACCTTGAAATTATAATGGTATCAGAGCAGTGATCCTGCTGCTTGGCATAATCCCAATCGTTCTCCACAAGCATGGCTGGAGGCGAAGAACCAGAGGCAAAGGATGGCGGCAATGYCGTCAACCACAACTCACCCTATTATCTTCACCCATCTGATTACCCTAGACAAATGCAAGTTAACGATGCATTGTCAGACAAAAATTATGTCGATTGGGTACAAGAGATGGAGAATTTTCTGTTTGCAAAGAATAAAATCGGATTCGTCGATGGCTCTATTAAAAGACCGGACAAGTCATCCAAGGATTACATGGCTTGGATGAGGGTGGATGCAATGATCAAAGGATGGCTTACCACCGCCATGGAGAAGGAAATACGAAGCAGCGTGAAATACGCAAGCACGGCGTCGGAGATGTGGTCAGATCTTCGTGAAAGATTCGGAAAAGAAAGCGCGCCAAGAGCGTACGAATTAAAGAATAAAATTGCTGCTTCACATCAAGATGGTGCTACCGTCTCAGCCTATTACACAAAGCTCCGTTCCCTGTGGGATGAAATTCAATCAGTTTTTCCTATACCACGGTGCACATGTAACGGGTGCACGTGTGACATCGGTAAAAGACTCGTTGAACATCAAGAGAAAGAGAAGTTGTATGAGTTTCTCATGGGCCTCGACAATGAGTTCGGGGTTATTAAAACCCAGATCCTTG